GGGCCGTCCCGGAGTGAGCTGGAGCTCCGATTCCGCCCCGGGGATTAAATCTAACCACCCCCGCACCCACCCCCCAGTAGAGCTGAAACTCAGGAATTGAGGCTCAGGCTGTTTTGAGGGTCTTTAAAACTCACGCCAGATCGGCGTTATTATTACTACTATGGTTTTCCTCATTATTTTTATCCGTAACGGCGTCGCCCCCTGCAGCCAGCCCCCTCTATCAGAGTGGGATGTATCAGAGTCGCGCCGGTGCGTCTCGGCGCTGCCTTGGCGCATCTGGGAACATCATGCGGGGGCGGATAGGAAACATCAGCGCATATTGCGACGTTGGCGTTATTGAAGACGCTTGCGGCGAGTCACCGCCGCCCCCGTCCTTCTAGCATCGATGTGGCCGAGCGTTGTGGCAAGAACTCTGCCAAGCCATCGGACCATTTGTTCCCCCAACAGTTGTGGAAACCCTTCGGGGAACACTTGGGGGAGGATGGCGGGGAATATCAGGAGGAGGCGGAGGAGGAGGAGGAGGAGGAGGAGGAGGAGGAGGAGGAGAAGGTGAAGGTGGAGGTGGAGGTGGAGGTGGAGGAGGAGGAGGATGAGGAGGGAGGCAGGAGGAGGAGGAGGAGGAGGCATCTTGGGAGCCTCTGGGGACAACTCCATTGGGGCCTCCTGGGAGCTTCCTGGGAACCTCTTTGGAGGCATCTTGAGGACCTCCTTGGGCATCTTGGCGGCCTTGGGGGGCTTCTCGGCGTCTTTTTGGTCGTTTTGGTGAGCTTCTGGCCCGTCTAACGACGTCAGAAACCGTCTTGGGGGCCTCTCTGGGCCGGGCGGTCCTTTTGGAGTTCTCCAGGGCCGTCTTGGAGGCCATTTTGGGCGTCTTGGAGGCCTCTTGGGCCGTCTTGGGGCCCTCATGGGGCCGTCTTGGGGGCCTCTTGGGCCGTTTGGGGCCATCCTGGGGGCCCCCAGGGCGATTTTGGGGCGATCTTTGGGGGCTCTTGGGCCGTCTCAGGCCGTCGGTAGGCCGAAAAGAAGCAAATGTCAAGCTCTGTCAAACATCCACGGGGAAACACGGATGTTGGCCTCTTTGGGCCTTCCTAGGGGCCCTCTTGGAGGCCTCTTGGGCCGTCTTGTGCCATCTTAGAGCCATCTTCGGCCGTCTTGGTGCGCGCCTGGCTTGTCTGACGCCGTCAGAAACCGTCTCGATGGCCTCTCTGGGCCGACCTGGAGCCCTCTTGGGGTTCTCCAGTGCCGTCTTGGAGGCTCTTGGGCGTCGTAGAGGCCTATTGGGTTGTCTTGGGGCCCTCTTGGGGCCGTCTTGGGGGCCTCTTGGGTCGTTCTGGGGCCATGTTGGAGGCCGCTTGGGCGATCTTGGGGCGATCTTTGGGGGCTTTGGGGCCGTTCCGGGCCGTCGGAAGGCCGAAAAGAAGCAAATGCCAAAGTCCTTCGAAAACCTAAGGAACATTACTGATTTGGGTCTCTTCGGGCCTTCCTGGAGGCTCTCTTGGAGGCCTCTTGGGCCGTCTTGGCCATCTTAGAGCCATCTTGGGCCGTCTTGTTGGGCTCCTGGCCCGTCTGACGCCGTCGGAAGCCGTCTTCGGGGCCTCTCTGCGCCGACTTGGGGCCCTCTTGGGGTTCTCCAAGGCCGTCTTGGAGGCTTCCTTGGCCATCTTAGAGGCCTCTTGGGCAGTCTTGGGGCCCTCTTGGGGCCGTCTTGGGGGCCTCTTGGGAAGTCCTGAGGCCACCTTGGGGGCCTCTTGGGCGCTCTGGGGGCGATCTTTGGGGGCTCTTGGGCCGTCTCGGGAAGTCGGAAGGCCGAAAAGAAGCAAATACGGAATCTTTCAAAAACCAAAGGTAAATCAATGATTTCAGCGTCTTCGGGCCCTCCTGGAGGACCTCTTGGAGGCCTCTTGGGCCGTCTTGGAGGCCCCTTGGGCACCTCTTGGGCTGTCTTGGGCCGTCTTGGAGGCTTCCTGGGCGGACTTGGGAAGTATCTTGGACCCTCTTGGGCCGTCTTGGAGGCCATGTGGGACCATCTTGGGCGAACTTGAGGGCCATCTTGGCCGTCTAGGCGGCCATCTTGGGCCGTCTTGGACCCGTCTGGACGAGGAAAAACCTTTGTAACAGGGCCTTGTGCAGCCTTCCGGGGTGCTGGCCGCATGCGCCTGAGCCCCAGGGGAGAGTTCTTTTGGAAAAAGAATCAAAACCAAGATCGTAAGAAATCTAGCGCGCCGGGCACCCTTGTTGCAAGCCAACAGGGGGCGGCGGATCGAAGACGCCTACGGCGAATCACCGCCGCCCCCTGCCCTTGTGGAAGCGCCCATGTGGCCGACAGCTGGGCTAGAGCTTGGCCAGGCTATCGGGCCAATTGTTTCCCGAGTCGGTTCGGAACGCCTTCGGGGAACCCTCGGGGGAGCAAGAGGTTTGAAATCACCCATGTGTCGGAGCGTTGTGGCAAGGGCTCTGCCAAACTATCGGACCATGTCTTCCCCCGACCGTTGTGGAAAACCTTCGGGGAATACTTGGGGGAGGATGATCAGGAGGAGGCGGAGGAGAAGATGGAGGAGGAGAAGGAGGAGGATGAGGAGGATGAGGAGGAGGAGCAGGAGGAGGAAGAGGGGGCATCTTGCGAGCCACTGGGGACACTCTTGGGGCCTCCTGGGAGCTTCCTGGGAGCCTCTTGGAGGCATCTTGGGGACCTCCTTGGGCATCTTGGGGGCCTTTGGGGGCCTCTTGGGGGCCTCTTGGGCTGTCATGTTGGGCTCCTGGCCCGTCTGACGCCGTCGGAACCTGTCTTGGGGGGCCTTTCTGCGCCGACTTGGGGCCTCTCTTGGAATGCTCCAGGGCCGTCTTGGAGGTCATCTTGGGCGTCTTGGAGGCCTCTTGGGCCGTTCTGAGGCCATCCTGGGGGCCTCCAGGGCGATCTTGGGGCGATCTTTGGGGGCTCTTGGGCCGTCTCGAGCCGTCGGTAGGCCGAAAAGAAGCAAATGCGCAAGTCCTTCAAACACTTACGAAACATACATGATTTTGGCCTCTTCGGGTTGGGCCGTCTTGTCGGGCTCCTGGTCTGTCTGGCGCCGTCGGAAGCCGTTTGGGGGGCCTCTCTGGGCCGACTTGGGGCCCTCTTTGGCGTCTTGGACGTCTTGGGGCCGTCTTGGGGGCCTCTTGGGCCGTTATGGGGCCATCCTGAGGGCCTCTAGGGCGATCTTGGGGCGATTCTTGGGGGCTCTTGGGCCGTCTCGGGCCATCGGAAGGCCGAAAAGAAACAAAAGCCAAAGTCCTTCAACAACCTTAGATGAATCAATGATTTTGGCCTCTTCGGGCCTTCCTGGATGCCCTCATGGAGGCCTATTGGGTCTTGGGCCATCTTAGAGCCATCTTGGGCCGTCTTGTTGGGCTCCTGGCCCGTCTGACGCCGTCGGAAGCCGTCTTGGGGGGCCTCTCTGGGCCGACTTGGGGCCCTCTTGTGGTTCTCCAGGGCCGTCTTGGAGGCACCATCTTGGGCGAACCTGGAGGGCCATCTTGAAAGCGATCTTGGAGCCATCTGGAGCAGGAAAAACTGTTGGAACCCCTTTCTGGGCCATTCGGGACCCCGGCGGGCGGGGCCGAAACCCCAGGGAGAGTTCTCTGGGAAAAAAACCAAAACCAAAAGCGAAAGGATTTAGCACGCCGGGCACCCCTGTGATGAATCAACAGGGGGCGGCGGGTCCTAGTGACTTTCGGCCTATCCCGCCACCGTGCCTGGGTTGTGGGTCTGAGGCCTCTTGTATATATGTTGGGGTGTCGTGGAGAGCCTCTCGGGGGCCTCTCGGACGGGGTTTGGGCGCCTCTTGGGGGCCTCTTGGGGCCTCGTGGGTTATCTTTTGGGCCTCTTGGAGGCCTCGTGGGCGTCTTGGGGTCTCTTGGCGGCCTCTTGGCGGCCTCTTGGGGCCTCCTGGGAGCTTCTCGGGGCTTCTCGGAGCGCTTCTGGGTCCATCTTGGAGCCCTCTTAGGCCGTCTTGGGGCCCTTCTGGAAGCGTCTTGGGTTGTCTTGGGGCGGTCTTGGAAGCTTCTTGAACCGTCTTGGAGCCGCCTTGGAGCGTCGGAAAGCTTAAAATGCGAGGAGGCCAGGATCTTTCAAGAACCTCAGTAAGATCGACGATTTGGGACTCTTGGGGCTCTCTCGGGAGGCCTCTTGAAGCGCTCTTGGGGCCTCTTGGGGCTCTCTTGGGTAGTCTTGGAGACATCTTCGGGCGCCTTAGAGCACTCTTGGCCTCGGCAATGCGAATACGGCGTAATTTGCGAGGGTCTATGACCTCGGGACGCGAACATTGCGTAATTTACAGAGGTTTGTTGCCTCGTGGACGCAAGACTTGCACAATCTGCGAGGGGTGATCGCCTCGGGGACGCGAATATTAGATGGTATAGCTTAACAATAGAATTATGGCTTCGTAGACGCGATTATCGCGTGATTTACAAGGCTGTGTTGCCTCGGGGACGCAAGAATTGTTTAGTTTACGACGGTGTGTGGCCTCGGGGACGCGAACACCGCGTAACTCACGAGGGATTATGGCTTCGGGGGCGCGAATCTTATGTTGTTTTACATGTTCCACGCTCCCCCGGGAATTCAGAGCACGCGATCCGAAGGTGGTAACCGGCCGGTTTGGGGCTCCCCCCCTCGCGCGGGTGTCAGCAACTTACAGTAGGAAGCAGAACGCAGGACTGTAACGTTGGAGGCTTCAAACTGCAACTGGCGCAGGGAGCAGCAACTTCGTCCTACAGCCTGGTGGCCCCACAAGGAGGCTGGCGTTTTTTCTTACGCGTATCATTGCTCTTCTTCTTCTTATTTTCCTCCTTCTTCTTCTTAGTATTATTATTATTACTACTCTTATTATGGTTTATACTATTATTATTTTGACCGTCCTTATTATTATCACTATTCTCGAGGCGGGTCGGGCCGAGGCGGCGAGACGCCCCCGAGGGCGTCCTGCCAGGCAGGCCGCCCTCGCGGGCGGCCCCCGCCCTCGAAGGCCCCGGGCCTGGAGCGCACAGGCGCCTCGACCGGGGCGCGGGGGGTCTGGGCTACTGGGCGGGTGGTAGTGGAGGCGGCCCACGACGCGGAGGGTGAGGAAAAAAACCCTGAAGGGGCCGTTCAGGGCCCCTCGTTTGGGCCCCTGCTGGCCCCAAGAGGAGCCCTAAAGGGGGGGGCCCTTTGCGGGCCCTTCTCTCCGCCCCCCATGTGGGTCACCCCCAGTGCCGCCCGCCCGAGGTTAGTTGTCTCTCAGCCTCCCGCCTTCCCGCCTCCCCCGTGCGCCGCCGAGGTCTGCCCCCCCCCCCGCTCCTGGGCGCGCCGCGGCGGCGCGCGACCCGTCAAACGCCTGTTGTTAATGCATGCCTGTTGTCAGTGAGCGCCTCTCCCCTGCACCCCTGGTCGTCGTCCCTTCCATTGCCAGTTTGAAAAATATCCCTATTCCTGTGTTTGGCATCACCTCACCTCGATGCCTATATCCAAGGATTCCCTTTGTTTCTGAGGGCACATCCCTAAGATTGTCCTCGCTTTTTGCTCGCCTATCCTAGGGATAGGGATAAGTTCGAGGCTGGTTACTCCGTCCTCCTCCGCAGATCCTCCTTCCACAGCTTGCTCCTCATGTCCCTCCTCCTCCCGCCTCCCGGTCCACCCTCCTCCCTCGCGCCCCCCCTTTCCCTCTCACGGGCCTCCCTCCTCTTCCATCAAAGCTTGCTGTATTCTGCGTGCTCCCTTCCTTTATTTCACTGTGCTTCAGATCCAACTCGACGTGACATGCCTGTCCATTCGCTTCGGGGCCGAGGAGGAGAAGAGGAAGGATGGCGTGAAACTGTGGGGACGAGTCTCAACCTTTAGTTCTTGTCCGCTTTGTACACGACTCATTGTTGGCGTCGCCGCAGGCGTTATACATTTGAGACAAACGCCGCCTGCCCAACAGCGGCCGCTGTCGGTCGTGGACGACATGTATTGTGTGGGATCGCTGCCAGTTTTCTCCATACCCACTTCGGGCGGGCCACTATTGCTCATCCTGTCGCTATGAAAGGAGGAGCTCGCGGACCTGGGAGAGGGTGGCCCCGAAGGTGTTTCGCCGTTTTCACGCCCCCGGGGGCCCTCCTCGGGACCTGGGGCCGCCAAGGAAGCGACGCGGGATGAAAAGCTGGTCCCGGGTAAAGCTGCAGGCTCTAGGACCCGTTTCCCTCAGGACCTCCCTCTCACGGCGAACGCATGTGTTCCCCAGACCCAACCTGGAGGCCGTGCCAACCAAGGCCCGGGCCAAGAGATCTGCCCGTGGGGGCTTGGTGGTGGTGGATGTTGCGGGCTGGATGAATCCAAAGAGTTCTCGAGCTGTGTCTCAGAGTTCCCCCGCCTGGCCACTTCGGACGTGCCGAAAGACTTCCGGATTCGAGCCTCGGCGGGTTGAGCCGAGGCTCGAATCTAGAAGTCGTTCGACGCGCGCGCGGCGCGGGCCCTCCACCTTGCGATCGGCCAGCGCCGGAAGAGGAGCGGGACAGCGCGCTGGTGGCACTAAGCCGCCTGCGCGGCGCGGTCGCAAACGCACTGACGGAGCTGCTGGGGCAGCTGCCAGGCGATCGCAGGGAGCTGGGGGGGGGCGGCAGCGATGGATCAACCAGGGGTGTGTGTGTGTGTGGCGCGGCGAGGGTGGCAGGCTGGGTTGGCAGAGGGGGAGGAGGTGGAGGTGGAGGAGGAGGTCCCTCTCGTCGTTCCCGCCATTTTGTCGCTCCGTTTCCGTTGTCCTTCCACCCTCTGGCGCGCTCACCAAGGAGGCACTTGCCTCCCCCTCCTCCCAGCGCTGGACGGGAGCCCGGGCGGCGAGGGCTCCAGTGCTTGGCACAGGTCAGACCGCAACACCGAGCATCGGGGAAGAGGATAGAGGAAGAGCAGAAGGAGCAGGAGGAGGAGGCAACAGCGCGTTCGCAGCTTAATTTGTTTTGCGCGCTCCGCCTAAATCGTCGTCGTGCTTTGTTTTCCTTCGAGGAAAGCAACAAGCCTGACCTTAATGTCCGCCGAACGTGAAAGGGAGGCAACAGCAGATCTTGGCCCCCTGGCCCCTCCACGCCTTGCCCGTCCCACCTGCAGCAGCCTCCTCGTCGCCCAAGCAGGTATGTAGTATATGGATACGTATATATCTATATGTATATCTATGTATACACTGGGGGCAAACGATGAAAAAAATGCCCGCCCCCCCCCACCCGTCCGGGGGACCCCAAAATGAATGAGTGGGGCAGACTAATGGAATTCAGCCGCCGGAAACTGTTTTTAATCGTCTTCCCCCCTGGCGTTTGATTTTGCCGCTTTGCGGAAACTGATATTCTATTCGTCTTCCTGCGTTCGTTCGATCACCCGCGGCCGCGGGAGGAGGATTGCGGAGAGGGGGCGCCGGAAGCGCCACTAGGGAGTCCCAGCGCAGATCCAGGAAATCCATTGGGGACCGCCGAAAGTTTATACTTATGCCGTGGTTTCATCCCCGATTCAAGAACCAACTTGAGGACGTCCCAGCTGTCGTCCTCGCGGACGGCGGTTGGAGTTTGAAAATGAGGCCAACGCTGCCGCGGGAGCAGCGTGTCGGAAGAACCGAACCAGTTCGGATTGAGCAACAGATATGAACAACGCACTCCCCCGACCCTCTGTGCAAAAACACAGCACGTGGGAGGACTCGAACCGAGCGGAAACTCGAAAATGAGGCCAGCGTTACAGCGGGAACAGCATGTTGGAAGAGCCGAACACGTTCCGGTTGAAAAACAATTATGAGAGACGGACTCGCGCCAAATCTGTGTGTAGTTAAACGCAATACGCGGAGGGGTACAGGCAATCTTCCAGAGTGCATCAGGGGAGAGGCGGGAATAGAATTCATATTGAATAGCGGCAGAGGAACAATACTTAGCTGGGGGAAGGTGACAAGGGATATAATAGCGAGGGGAAGGAGGAGGAGGAGGAGGAGGAGGAGGAGGAGGGGGAGGATATAGGAAGAGGAGGTGGGGAAGGAGGTCGCTGTCTGAGGACGGCGCAGAATGTCTGCCTTCCGCGCAGGACTTGCTGATCAGAAATTTCTACTTGCCATTCAGGGCTGGCCAAAATCAACGCCCGCGGCCTCGAATTGTCCTGCCCTGCGGATTCGATTCGTCAGCCCGCGAAGTCCTTCCCAGCTTTTGCTTGCCCGGCTCTGAATTGAACCCCCCCGCCCCCCCGCCCTGAATTGTCAGACCGCGCCCCACCCCAGGCCTCCAGACAACCCTGGATTGTCCGCCCTCCGTCTGCCTGCCCCGCCCCCCCCGCTATTGCGGTGGCGCGAAGGCCCGCGAAACTATCTTAAAAATCGTCCGCCCATATTTGTTGTATAGAAGCCGCTTGCTCACATTATTACTATTATTATTACTATTATTATTATGATTATGATTGTGATTATGATTATGACTATTATTATTATTAATATTATTATTAATATTCGTATTATTGTTGTTATTATTATTATTATTATTTGTTTATTATTATTATATATGTATATACACGTGGATCTACACAGATATAACATATACATGTTATATTATTTACGCATGCACATATATACATATATGCATCGATGCATATATAAGTATATACATATACACAGACATATACATATATATATGCTTCAAGGGAAGAAGGTCGATACATTGACGTACAGGGCCAGGCGTTCTTGATTGTTTCGTCCAGTTGTTGCTTGCGGTGGATCTGGATCTGCGAGCGTCTGAACGCTTGAGGGGACAACGCAGCATGGCACAGTCAACCCGCCTAGTATGGATGAGCGACTTCCCAAGGTTGCCTTTGCATCCTTCCCCTTGGGCCCATGGCCGCTTTCGCTGGCCGGTTATCCAACAATTCCAGGCCGTATGCGAAGGAGAATACAGGACAGGCATCTACATCGGCATCTGCTCTGGCACCGGGAAATCATCGAGCAACATCCCAGTGTTCTTCCAGGCGTCCACGGCGCCGGCCAGGACAGCATCCAAGATACCATCACGATCTGCCTCCGCTGAGCTGCTGGGCGGAAGCCGGGAACGCAGCTCTCAGGAAGCGACGGGGGCGAGGAGCCCCACATGCCCGTCAAACCCCGAAGGCCACCACCCGATTGCCAGCTCGCGTTTCGCAGCGCCCGGGCGGCAGCGTGGAGAGAGTCGAGGCTTATCGGGCGGACCAGCGCCCACGAGGAGGACGAGGAGGACGAGGAGGACGAGAAGGACGAGGAGGACGAGGAGGACGAGGAGGACGAGGAGGATGAGGAGGAGGGGGAGGAGGAGGAGGAGGAGGGGGAGGAGGAGGAGGAGGAGGAGGAGGAGGATAAGGAGGATAAGGAGGAGGAGGAGTAAGAGGAGGAGGAGGAGGAGGAGGAGGAGGAGGAGGGAGGAGGGGGAGGAGGAGAGGAGGATATGGAGAATGGGAGGGGGCAGAGCGTTCAGGGAGACGATCCAGGTCTGCAAGAGGTGGAAGAGGCAAAAAGGGAACGGGGGGGAGGAGGCGATGGAATAAGGGCGGACGGGCGGATTGGCGGAAGGCACGCGCGGGGGACAGAGGGGGGGGAACAGGAACAGGGCGAGGATGAGGAAACTATCCATGTGGAAATACGTAGCAAAATGCCAGCAAGACAGGCATGATGATGTGGAGTATCCCATGGCACCACACGAACAAGGCGACGGGAGCAGGAGGAGGATGACGATTCATGCTGTCAGTTACTCTCCTCCCACTGGTTGTCTGCTTAGTTACCCTGCGCCCTCTTGCGTGGGCACCCAATATTCTACCAGCCCTTGTGGCCCGGCTTGTGCAACCAACGGCGGCAGCCTCCGTTAGTTGTGACGCGCCGATAAGCTTTTATTCCTGACGCACGAACGACGCCACAGGCCAGCACCTGGAGTTCGCCCAGCGCAGGAATTGAGGAGGACTGTGCTCGCTTTCGGTGCGTCGTCGTGAGGCGAGCACGCCGGCAGCGAGCTGCTCGACGAGGTGGCGTCGGCCGCGGGCGCGCAGGACGCCGGGAGCTCGAGCCGGGCCGCTCGCCGCCTCCCTTGCCCTTGCCGGTGGGAGAAGGAGTGTGGGTGACAAGAGGGGGAGGAGGAGGAGGAGGAGGAGGAGGAGGAGGAGGAGGAGGAGGAATAATAATAATAATAAGAGGAGGAGGAGGAGGAGGAGGAGGAGGAGGAGGAGGAGGAAAAATAAGAAAAATAATAATAAAAAAGGAAAAAGAAGAAGCAGAAGAAGAAACAGAAGAAGAAGAGGAGGAGGAGGACCGGTGTAAACCCAAGGCTCATCAGCGATGTTGGGTATACACCCTCCCTCCAAGCTCCGTCTTCATAGGCCCCATACACAGAGTTTCACATCCACTGAGGGAAGAAAGTGCCCCGTTGGGAGACAACCGTGTCGAAATCCGGAAGCGTGCCAGAACATCATTTTCAGGATTTCAACGTCACGAGTCAACCTGACTGTTGCGTCTTAACGACCCTGACTGTTCCGCCTGGACAGTCCTGAGCCGCTCGAAAGCACAATTTTTGGAGGGTTAACCATGGGAATCCGCGAACCCTTGCAATGTTTTGCAACGATGCGCGGCGCTAAGGCGATAGCCGCATTTTGACAACGAATCGCCCTCAATCCGTGAACCTCTTGCGAGTTCTAAAAACCTCTTGCGACATTCTACAAACGAGTGTGCGCGGCGCTCATGCGAGAGCATCATTTTAGAAACCACTCGCCCTCAATATGTGAAGTTCTTGCAACTTCTTAAACGAATGCGCGCGGCGCTCAGGCGAGAGCCGCATTCTGAAAACCACCCGCCCCCAATGCGCGAAACTCATGCAAAATATCAAGACGAACCTGCGCGGCGCTCAGGCGAGAGCCGCTTTCTGAAAACAGCCCGCTTTCAAGCCGTGTGAAGCTCTTGCAAGTTTGAAAGCGAATCTGCGCGGCGCTGAGACGAGAGTCGCATTTTGAAAACCACCCGCCCTCCATTTGTGAAACAGTTGTCAGTTTCTAAGCATCAGGCTCAGAAGTGGTAAAGAAGTCCCAGGCGAAACGCCCGACCCGCCCTTCCGACCGGTCTCGGGGTGCGCCACAGGGGGAGTTTATTCTGAAGAACCAAGAACGGAGTAGAAGGAGGAGGAGGAGGAAAAGGAGGAGGAACAGGAGGAGGAGGCGGAGAAGAGGGAGGAGGAGAAAGAGGAGGAAAACAAAAAGAGGGAGGAAGAGGGAGGGAGCATGGACGGGGGGAGGAGGGAAAAGGGAGGAGGGCGAGGACAAGGGGAAGGCGTAGCATATAGAGGGAGGGCGAGGACGAAACGGAGGAGGGAGAGGTGAGCGTTTTTCTCCTCCTCCTCCCCCTCCTCCTTTTTTTTGTTACAGAAAAACCATCTGGCCTCAGGTGGGAGGGGGCCAGATCGTGGTCGTGTCGGGCGGTCGCTCGATCCCTCGCGCGATCGACAGCGATCAGGCCGCCCAGGAGGTCGGGCTCACGCGAGCCGCTCGGCGCCCCTGGGGGGGTGAGGCACCCCGCGCCTCGCCAGCCTCCCCCTCCTGGGCCCGATTGGCGGCCACGCGCAGCTCCTGGCGACGCCGCTGCCGCAGCGCCGCAGCCGGCGCCCGCGCGGCCAGCGCGACGCCGCAGGAGCCAACCTGGCATCGCCGAGAGCGCCAACGCAGATCCTCTGCGCGGGTGCTGGTGCACGTGCTCGGCGCAGCGCGCAGGCTCCAGCAGCACCACAGCGCGCAGCAGCAGCAGCAGCAGCAGCAGTAGCAGCAGTAGCACCAGCATTCGCACCAGCGGCACCAGGTAGTCGACCAGTACGACACCATGGGACGTGGAGGAGATACCGCGGGGGCGAGGGCAAAGGCAAGGGCAAGGACACCAGCGGCAAGGGCAGCAGCTCTTCGACCGACACATGGTCCTGGTCAACTTGCAGATCCTGCGGCGCATGGCACCACGACAATGACTGGAACAAGTGGAACTGGACCTGCTCCTGCGGCTGCAGGGTCGAGCAGCCCAAGAAGAGCGCTTCACTCTACGAGGGGGACGGCGGCTCCAAGGGCCGCGGCAACCAGCAGCAGGATATGGCCGACTCTCTCAGAGGCATCGCGGAGTCCCTGGCGGGCATGGGTGTCACCAGCGGGCCAGCCTCACAGATGAAGGCGGTCGACGACGGCTTGGCCCCGCAGGTGGAGGAGCCAGCCCAGTCCCGCGCGCGGCAGCTCAGGAACGCGGCCGCGCGCTTAGAGAGGACCAACGAGAAGTACGAGCAGGCCTATGAGAAGGCTTCAGCCACACGCAAGCTGCTAGCCGAGCAGAGTGCACACCTCATGGAGTGTGCAAGCGCCGTGATCGATGCAGAGAAGGCAGCTGAGGACATCACGGGAGTTCGGCCAGACACTAAAGTCAAGGGTGCGAGCCAGCCGAAGGCCAACCTGATCCAGACCATTTTGGACTTGGACTTGGAAGACCTGGACAGCTTAGGCATCGCGGACGACGTGGAGGACGATGAGGATTACGACCAGGACGCCCGCAAAGAAGCAGCAGGCGCCAAGCGGCTTCTGCCCCAGTCGTACAAAGACAACGTAGCGACACACATGAAGGGCCCACGACAATACCTGCAGCAAGCTCGAAAGACGGCCCGCAATAATCGCGAGGACATCAAGCAGGCAGCAAAAACCGGAAAGCCGAAGGCGGAGCCCAAGCTGTGCCACCAACATTAAAAACAACAACACCAGAGTAAGCACCTACGCCACCACCACCGCGACAGCCGACGACACCAAGCGCAGCATCAGCGGACAGCAAGACTAAGGACCAGCTTCTCGACGAGATGCGAGCCAAAGCCAAGAAGGCGGAGGACGCACAGGCAGCGGGCAAAGGGCCCGTGCCCGAGAAGCTGGACGAATAGGGGCTGCGCAGCTCCCATCGCCATGCCGGCCTCAGCCGCGATGTGTAGCGCAAAATATTCGCCGGCAACTGCGCGGAGTGGGGCACCAGAATGAAGGACTTCCTGGCAGCTGCCAGGCTCGAGAAACGCTTCGATGCCTTCGCCATTCAGGAGGCTCACTTGAGAATTCACGTGCTGATGGGCGCGGAGCGCGACCTTCAGAACATGGGCCACAAGGCTTCTTTCGCGCCTGCTCGCCAGTCCACCCAGAGCCAGCGCGGCTCCAACGGCGGCACCTGCGTGGGTATCCTCTCATATCATCAGAGCGAGTGCTTCCGCGGAAAGGCCAAATAGGGCGCCGCCTCCGCCGCCGCAGCAGACTTATTCATCCTGTCAGCGGACGGCCCTCACCGCGACTTCCTCGACTGGGTCCCGATGTGCTGGCACTTGAAGGGCTGCAGTGTCATGCTGGTCAGCGCGTACTTGGGCGCCGCGGGCAGCCTGCGCGGGGTCAACGTCAGGAAGCTCCCCGCGCTGGACGCCTTCTTGGCCAGCTGCCAGCGCCCTTGGATTGCGATCGGAGACTGGGTCGCAACGCCAGAACGATTATGGAACCCAGGATGGCCGCAAGTCATGGGGGCCGAGATTGCCGCGGTCCCAGACGGCTACACCTGCTTCGCCCACAACGGCAAGATAGGCACCGCCACGGCGACGCTCCTTGATTACGCGCCGGTGAGCCACGACGCTCACAAGTACTCCATCGGCCTGGAGACCACGGCATCACCCTGGAGGGCGCACGTTGGACAGACACTTCGGATTCGAGGTGCTGCCAGGCCAATCAACATGCGTCAGCTCCAGCTACCGCGTCATTTTTCACACCCACCTGCGCCGCCGAAACCACCCAACCCCGACAGCAAGAGGCAGCGGCTAAAGCAGGACAAAAAGCAACAAGAGCATTAGACCACCGGCGAGGTACCGGGCAGCGCCGCACCAGACCACAACGCCGCCTACTACGACGCCCACAGCGATTGGCCCTGCGCCCATCGCTACGACCAGCAGCATGGACGACGAGTGCGACCATTTCGAGGACATGGACCAGGAGGCCACCTTCGAACAGCTCTGCGACGAGGGGCCGCCGAGCGACTACATCGATGCGCTGCTCGAGGTGCCGCAGACCCACGAGACGCCATCGAGCGCGCCTGGGAAGGCGGACAGGGCGCCGTCTCAGGAGCCCTCCCATCGAGGCGCGCACTCCGAGAAGATGCCTGACACCAGGACCATGGACAGCCTGTGACAGGCATCGCGGGATCTCTCGCGGCCACGACCCGGGCACGAGCAGCCGCCCGACTACATCGAGCGCAGGGCGGCCTACCTGTCGGACCATCGGCGGCGAAGACCTTGGGGCAGGAGCACGGCCAGTTCGTCAGCGCCATGGAGCGGTTCTACTGCGCGGCCCACCCCATCCAACTTCAAGATAGACATCGGTGCATGGGTCGAGGCGGCGCGCGACGGATGGCCACCAAGAGAGCGAAGCCGCGCGCTCGACGACGCGCTGCCGCGACAAGCAGTCCGACTGGCGGGGGAAGCTCGCTGCTACGATATTGCGGGCATACTCCACGCTGCAGCAACGAGGACAGGGAGACCGACATGGACACCACCTTGAAGCCGAAGCGCGCCAGCTGGTCCATGAGGGCGCTCCAACTGCAGGAGTACGTCTCAACCCCGCGGCAGCGTTGCATCGCGACTTGGGGGCAGACCGGCCTCAAAGACTATTATCGCTCCACATAGAAATCAGATTGGGCATGCTCGACCAGGCTGAGCGCGAGGTGCAGAAGGCTCTTCGGTTTTATGCGAGCACGCCCGCAAAACTTCGTGATCTGGCTTGCCGACGCGACGAAGGCGACGCCAGGGAAGCTCCACAAGATCACGAAACCACAAGCACAGCACGAGGACGAGCACATCCACGTTCGGGGGGAGGCGTGCTGCCCACTGACCATCATAAACGCCAAGTCCGACGAGTTCAGCGAGCCGTGGACACATCCCACGATCGCCCATCGCGACTACGTCACCATCATCAACGACGTCCGCGAGATCGCAGAGGCAGCACCGACCACCAACTGGACCCTGGAC